TCAGCTACTTTGACACAAAGGCATCTGCTGTAATGCTCAAACCTTTGATAAAGTCTTTCGAGTGTCAGCTTCCTTTTTATAGATACAAAAATATGTAAATTTACTGATCTGAATTATAATATTTCTGACTGTCTGAGGCAAAATTTCCCAGATTCAAATTGAATTGGATCGAATCGAATCAAATCGTGGATCGAATCGATTCTAGAAATCAGTGACGATACCCAGCCCTATGCAGCACCCACGGTGTGGGATGGAGAGATTTCGTAGGTCTTTCCTCCCCACTGCTGTCAGACTCCACAATAAAGACTTTTGCAGCTGATCAAACACACAAACCCACACATGAGCAATAAGACTGCTATATGTGCAATTCTTGTGCAATTCTTCTTCTGACGAAGTTGTATTATGGTATTTTCCTACTCAGTTGTATATAGCATTTGTATTTCTATTTTATTCTATTGTATATAGTATTTTATTTTATTTTATTTCATTGTATTTTTATTGCATTCCAGTGTTTTCTAATTTCTGCTACATAACTTTGCACTTTTGCTGTAACAAAACAAATTTCCCACCTGTGGGACTAATAAAGGTCATCTTATCTTATCTTATCTTATCTTATCTTATCTTATCTTATCTTATCTTATCACCTTTCAGTCCTACTCACAAACAATGTGATTTAATACATGTGCTATTTTTTTTTGTTTATCGAAAGCAGACGTTTATTGTTTTGATTTTAAAATAAACAAGTGAAACACAAGTGGGACTCAGTATGACCCATTGGAGAAGGGTCAAAGTACAAAAACTCAGCCGACAGCGGCTTTATTTGTTAATGGAAGTAAGAACCATGGAGTTCCACAGGGTTCCCTGCTAGGACCAATTCCGTTTACATCATACATGTTTCCCATAGGCAGTACATACATTTTCACTGCTATGCAGACGACACCCAACTTTATTTATCGACGAAGCCACATCCAGATAACACACACCAGTTCGTTAAACTGCAAGAATGTTTTAAAGACATAAAGACCCGGATGACGTCTTAACTTTTTGCTTCTACATTTAGATCAAACTGAGATTATTGCACTTGGCCCCGAGATTCTAAGAAATATGGTTCTAACCAGATACTTACTCTAGATCGCATTACTTGGGCTTCCAGTAACACTGTGAGAAATTCTTTTTTGACCAGGATACATATCCTTCAATATTTATGGTCAATATCAGTATCTCTGGCCAATATCTAAAAAATTAGAGGTGCCCTGTCTTGGTTGGATCAGGATTTTAGCTCTGATTTTTGTAGAGGATATGGTTCTATATGCTTCATTAGGTGGTGGTCTCCAGCTCTTACTGGATTGATTTGCAGTCAAGTGTGAAGTTGCAATCAGCACCTTCAAGTCTGAGACCATGGTCCTCAGCCATAAAAAGAGTGGAGTGCCCACTCTGATTCAGGGACAGATTACTGCCCCAAGTGGAGGAACTGAAGTGTCTCAGGGTTTTGTTCTCCAGTGAGGGGAGATTGACAGGTGGATTGGTCTTGCAGCTGCTGTGATGCAGACCCTCTACTGGTCAGCTGTGGTGAAGAGAGATCATAAAAGTGATGCTCTAGATTTACTGGTCAATTTATGTTTAAAGCCCCAACTATGGTCACAAGCTTTGACTAGTGACCAAATGAGATTGCAGATACAAGGGGCAGAAATTAGGTTTCTCCAAAGGGCAGCTAGCTCTCCCTTTGAGATATGGTGAGGAGTTTAGGCATCCAGAAGGGGCTCAGAGTAGAGCCATTATTCCCACACATTGTAATATGTGGAAGAAGATGAATGGATGGATATTGATTTTACATTTGATCAGTGCTTCTATATTCACCACGGGATAAAAATCCCAAAACTACCTGTAAAACATTAATATAAAATTGCAGTAGTGAACGCCACAATGGAATGTCTACCTCAAGTTTTCATGGATGATTGTTCCCGTCTCTGAATCATAAGAAAGGATTAAGGAGAGCAAAAACACCCAAGCTGTTTTTGGTACAAAAAACAGAGTTCAGGATTACAAAATAGGGAAGGAAATGAAGGCCAAATCCTAAAGCCAGCCAGCATCCCCAGAGGTCACAGAGTTGTTCTAAAAACTTCCAGGAGCCCAAAATAAAGTAACACCAAACTTTGGGGGTCATATGAAAGTCAAGGACAGGTTTTATAACCTTTAAATAAAGTGTCATTATTGACCTGGCTGCTGTTGATGATGCTCTATTAAGGCTGTTATGGTTGAGGATGCCTTAAAGCAGGTGCTGAATATGATTTAATTTAATGTTTGTGATTCATAAAGACAGAAGCTAATGGCATGAATGGTGGGCCCAGAAAGATTTCCAGACTAGAATCTTGGACTTCTATAATCTGGTACCTTTACCCTTAGGTCAGGCAGAGTTGGAGTCTGTTGGTGGTCTCTTCTCCCCCACTGTCACTTAGTTGTAAACATTAAATGGATTTTCAAGTATAACACTAAAGGTGCCTTGATATATTGTAAATATTGTTAGAATAGTTTCTATGAAGAAAATGAAAAATTAAACTGAGGATGAGTCTCTACAGTTGGAGTTCTTCACTTTTGTTTGGTCTGCTGTTACCAGTGTTGGGGAGTAACGGAATACATGTACCGCCGTTACGTATTTAAAATACAAAATATGAGTAACTGTATTCCGT